TCCCTCCGTTCCATATTACTTGTCATGGTTTTAGTTCAAATTTGATCTAAAACCACGACAAGTAATATGGAATAGAGGGAGTAGTATAGAGTAGGTATATACTGTGGGTGCTTTAAGACCAAGTATAATAAGGTGAGACAAAAGGTTGGCTATAAGACTTTAAATATCTTTATTATTAAGTTGGACGAAAGAGAAGAGGAGAGACAAGAGAAATGAGCTGTAGATTTACAGCCGGCTGTAGCACGTGCCCCAAGTAGCCATGTGAGAATGTATGGTGGATCATGAGGTAAAAAAGTAGTATTTTCTTGTAACCCACTACTATAATGTTAGCTATTACACTAGCAAAACAGCCCGTGCACTGCAACGGGAGAAAAATAATAATCATAATCTTCGATGGCCATGACCATATTTTGCTGCATCATCGAGATACACTATCACTCTCATTTTCATAAAATCATTAATTTTTTTGGAAAATCATGATTTTTTTAAACCCGTGAACATATCTGAAATTGTGAACGTTTGTATAGATTTTCGAAATTTTTCTAAAATCATGAATATTTTATACTATTGCAAACATTTTTTTAAATTGCGATTTTTTGAATGAGCGAACATTTTTTTGGAAATTGGTGTAACCATTGTTGAAATTCATGAATTTTTTTATTTAACAAACATTTTTTGAAATGCATGATCATTTTTTGAATCAGCGAACACTTTATGCATCAATAAAATATTCTGTAAGTCACGAATAGTTTTTGAATTTTTAGGATATCTTTCAATTCATGACTATTTTATGAATTGGCAAAATTTTGTTCAATTTCATTAACATTTTTTAGTACACAATTTTTTTTAAATCATGAATATTTTTTTATTTACTGACCATTTGTTTTAAAATTACAAACAATTTTTGAATATGCGAACATTTTTTAAAAGTCACAAACATTTTCTGAACCACAAACATTTATGAATTATTAGACATTTAATTTCCATATTCTCATTTTTTTAATTTTTGGAACTTTTTTAAAGCCCAAAATATTTGAAGTAGAAAAAAAAACAAAGCCAGAAAAGGAAAACGAAATTTAAAAAACAGGCCACCTAGACATGGGCCGGCCCAAATAGGCGCAATGTGTCTTCTCCAAGCGCGCAGAGCGCAATATAGAAGGTTCCTACTGAATGGGCCGGCCCATGGATTCTCCTCTGTGAAACGTTTTTTTTACCACTTACAGGTCCCGATGTTAACCACCTTTTGTTTGCAGATGACATCCTGTTGCTATTTAAGTCTAGTATGTAGGGTGCCAATTTGGTATGAAACCTGCTTAACATTTATTGTGGTGCTTCGAAACAAAGGGTAAATAATGAGAAATCCTCTATATTCTTCGGTAAGGGTTATTCAGATACTCTCAGGCAAGAAGTCAAGAACTCTTTTAATGTCCAGAATGAATCCTTAAGTGATAGATATTTGGGGCTGCCTTCTGAAGTGGGACAATCAAAGAATGGTACTTTCAAGTATCTCAGAGACAGAGGATGGATGCAAAAGTTACTATCAGCTGCTGGCAAAGAGGTCCTCATTAAATCTGTTGCCCAGTCTATACCAGTTTTTTCTATGTCCCGTTTTAGGCTTCCCTTTGTAAGAATGTGACATCTATCATCCGCCAGTTTCGGTGGGGGAAGTGAAAAGGGAAAATAAAACCATGCTGGGTATCGTGAGACGTGATGACAAAGCCAAAGAATTTATGTGGTTTGGGATTCCGTAACCTGGAGATTTTTAACATTGCTCTTCTCTCACGGCAGGCTTGGCGGATTCTACAGGAACCTGAATCTTTAAGTGAACGAATTATTAAGGTAGCTTATTTCCTGGGTTCTTCTATCCTTGATATTGAACTTGGGCTACACCCCTCTCAGATATGGTGGGCGATTATTGATGGAAGAAATATTCTTAAACAAGGAATCATTAGGCGGATTGGTGATGGCAGATCAAGACGGATATGGAAACACAATTGGAATCCTCGGACTGGACTCATGAGGCCCATTAGCTTACGTATTGCAAACCCTCCCCTTCTTGTGGCCGATCTATCGATGCCACCACGGCTTCCTGGCGCGAGCAGCTAATTAGGCAAGTGTTTTTGCCGCTAGATGCAGAAGCAATATTAAGACTTCTCGGTGTTGTTTCATTACCATGATAAGTCATGTTGTATCATAACAGAAACAAGATAAATTTAACCACTCTTGTGTGCAAAGAACTTGAACAAGTAAAACATGCTACTAATTCTCATGGTATTTCAACTAAGCTCTCCCATCAAGCACATGGTGTATGGGAAAGACAAACATATGTAGTCAGCAGGTAAGCAGCCATGGTCTTCGATCTGGGAGCTATTGAAATGACAGGAAATTACTCTTTTGGAGGTCGTGTGGAAGAAGACAATCTCTTTGTTCGGATGAAATCCAAGTATAGTATTTTTGATATACTGCCGTTCTAAGGTACTATCGCTATGTTCCCTGGAGAAATCTGCTAGGAGAGGACGAATGTTCATGTCGCACTTCAACATCCAGTTTCTCTGATCGCCTGCTTCGTCAAGATGCCAAATTCGAAGTCTAAGGCCATCATGGCCATCAAGTTGTGCACAGTATACACCGTTCTCTGATTTCCCTAAATTATGTCCTGGGTAACCTTGCCAACAAAAGCCTTTTGGTGGCTCAATTTACTTGGTATTTACCATTTATAACCCCTATTCTGCAAAAGATAACCCATTGTGAAAGTTAGACAAAAAGCTCTCTACATCAAAATGTAACCAAGGTTGTGTTTAATTAAGATGTGAGTAGCCATCAATGTACCTTAGGATGAAATCATGCTGGTGAAAGTAAAGTGCCCCCCGACAGTATGCTGCATAGCGGCCATCGGATGAGAAACCATCCAACATGTAGCCGATAGTCCTTGCGGCCTCCCCATCACGAGCAAAAGGTCTCTCTTCTCATCGATTTGTCCTCGATGAGAAGACGAGCAAGACGAATGTCGATGGCGGCCATTCTCTTTCTCGTATTTGAGGGGACTCGTAAGGCCATGAATCAGAGGGAACAGACTTAACTAAAAAGACCTCGTAGTGCGGTGACACAATAGGGTCGAACACGAGGTACTGGTCGTCGTAATATTCTTCAGCGTGCTCGCTGTCCTCCAAACCCGGCGTGCACACATGGCCGGAGGGGGAGGCAGGTGCGCCCACTTGTGTGTGGCGGGGTTAAGCACCCATACCTCTTCATCATCCTTGTCACTGAGCAGGAGGAGCCCATTGCAGTGCTGCGTGATCTTGAGGCACTCGTGGTCGCGTGTGTCCAAGTAGTCGAAGGGCGCAATGTTCACGGACGACACGCCGAGTGACAAAAGCTTCGGGGCTGTGGTGCAACCCTCCAGATGGAAGAACATGCCGGTCAGCGAGTGCGGCAGGAGGTCTGCGAGCAGCCGGTGGGCGTCAATGACGGAACACCACGCCTTACAGACGCAGCGGGACGCCGCAAGGCTGCACGGCGGCGTCATCCAGAGGCGGCGTAGGACGTCGGCCAGCACGTCGTAAGGCAGCCGCTGCGTCAGGTCCTCCATGGTTGCCTCAGAACTTGTGGTGCTTCAATCAAGTATATGGTTCGATATTTATACTATAGGGAGATGGAGTATTTTGTGATGGACCACGTCCGATTCGATGGCCATCCCGAATTGTGTCGGAGATCGGACTTCATAGTCTTGTTGGCAGGTAATAACTTGGACCGGCTCATGTGTCCACTCGGCTTTATCCGATACTGTCTCAGCTTGTGTGTCCGCTCAGTGTGAATATATATATATATATATATATATATATATGGTGAACGCGATCTATCTAGAGCTAGCCTCCAGTCAAGTTGTTCGATCTCGGTCGATGCATGGCCGCCGTCGCGTCGCCGGACCAGCTCTCGATCTCTCCGACGATCTTGTGTTTGAAATTATATTTTAGAACGTGATTGAAATTATAGCCTTATAGAAGAAAAACTTATCAGAAATGTGCTACAAAAATAACATCTTATGTTTAAAGCCATAGAAGCGAAGATCTTTAATAAGGTCATAAGACATGTAGAAAGCAACATAGTACTCCCTTCGGTCCTTTTTACTCGCATATAAAATTTGTCTAAAATCAAACTTTGTAAAGTTTACCAACTTTATAGAAAATACAAATAATCACAATATGGAATCAATATCATTAGATGCATCATGAGTTCAACTTTTATAATGTATAACTTTAGTATTGCATAAGTTGATATTTTTTTCATATAAATATGGTCAAAATATTCTAAATGTCTCAATATTAAGGGTGACACTATATGTTCGTTGGTCAAAAATATTCTATACAATTTAAGACTTTTTCGACGGATGGCGCTATTTCCTTGCCATAAATAAGTCTTGTTGTATCACAACGATAGAAACACAAATTTATTCAGAGGTCGTCATGTTGCTATATGATGAATCAACCACTCTTGTGCACAAAGAACACAAACAAGTCAAACATGCTACTAATCCCCATATGGTATTTTAACCAAGCTAATGCTTGTTGCTTGAAAACTCTCCCATCAAACACATCGTGTATGGGAAAGACAAACATATGTGTTCCGCGGGTAAGGAGCCATGATCTTCGATCTCGGAGCTATTGAAATGATAGGCCATTACTCTTTTGGATGTTCTGTGAAAGAAGAAGACAATCTCTTTGTTTGGATGAAATCCCAGGAGAGTATGCCTTCTATAACTCTATTCCGAAGCAAGATTTGCTAGAAGAGGATGAAGGTTGATGTCGCACTTCAACATCCAGCTTATCCGATCACCTGTTTCGTCGAGGTGCCAAATCCGAAGTCCGAGTCCATCATTACCGTCAAGTTGTGCACAATATACACCATTCTCTGATTTTCCTAAACTATGGTCCGGGTAATATCCCCGACGAGCACCATTCGGTGGCTCTATTACTTGGTATTTATCATTTTTCAAGGATATCCTACAAAAGATAAACCACTGTCGAAGTTAGAGTTAAGAAATCGCTACATTGAAACATAACCAAGGATGCGTTGTCTAAGATGTGAGTAACTACATACCTCAGAATGAAATCATGCTGGTGAAAGTAAAGTGCCTCCCGCCAGTATGTTGCATAGCAGTGATCAGGTGGGTCATCCTCCAACAAATCCCCGATGGTCCCTGCTGCCTTCCCTTCGCGAACAAAAGGCCTCTCATCCCACTGTTTTGTCCTTGATGAGAAGACGAGCAAGACATATGTCGATGGCGGCCATTCTCTTTGTTTTACGTGGCATTCAACAAAACGCAAGGTATCAGGCCGGGAGGGAATACGCTTGACTAAAAAGACCTCATAGTGCGGCGAGACTGTAGGATCAAACACGAGGTACTTATCATGATAGTCCATGCCATTTTCTTGGTCGAAATAGCTGTCCTCCATGCCCGGCGTGCGCATGGGCGGAGAAGTAGTCAAGTGCGCCCACTGGCGCGTGGCTGGGTTAAGCACCCACCAATCTTCTTCCCATTCGACATCGGCGAGTAGGAGGAGGCCATTGCAGTGCTGCACGATCTTGACGCACTCAGCGTTGTGGGTATCTAGGTAGTCGAAGGGGGCGATGGTCGTTGACGACATGGCGAGTGAGAGGGCTTTTGGGAGCATCCTGCCAAACAAGTCATCAAAGTGAAGAAATATGCTGGTCAGCGAGTGCGGCAGGAGGTCCGTGAGCAGCCGATGGGCGTCAACGACGGCACACCACGCCTTGCAGACGCAGCGGCATGCTGCGAGGCTGCATGGCGCCGTCGTCTGGAGGTGGCGCAGGACGTCGGCGAGCACGTCATGAGGCAGCCGCTGCGTCAGGTCCTCCATGGTTGCCTGAGAACTTGTGCTGCTTGGATCGAGTATATGGTTTGATGTTTATACTAGAGAGTTATTTTGTGATGGAATCCGTCCGATTCGATAGACATTCCGAATTGTGCTGAAGACCGGACTTCATAGACTTGGCCGGTAACAATTGGGCCGTGGCCCATGTGTCCACTGGCCCTATCCGATCCAAGCAGCACAAGTTCGGCCGTGGCCCATCGTCAGTTTTGTGTGTACGTTCAGTGCGATCGATCCAGAGCTGGCCTCCGATCAATTTGTTCGATTTGTTCGACCTCGATGCATGGCCACCGCCACCGCCGCCGTGTCGCCGGACTGGCTCAACTATCTCTCCGACGGCCTCATCATTCACATCCTCTCCTTCACCCCCTTCCATGAAACACCGCCCTCTCTCGCCGATGGCACCGTCTGATCTGGCTTGGCTCCACACCACGGCAGTCAGCATCGCCTACCGCTCTTTCACAAGTTTTCTTTTCTCGATTACGTTTTTTTTTCTGGTTTGGACTAGGAAACCCGGTTTTTTGCCCGGAGATCGTAACTAATTTCGAATATACAAGATTTAGCCTTGTGCACTATCTAATTATTCAATGGATAATATGTACAAATATGATCTCTTTATATTGAAGAAAACAGAAAAAAAATTCCATTGCTATAATAGCATAGCATGTATGCATGCCTCTTGACATTCACTTGTACTTTATTTACTTTTTGTTCAAGGCTTTGGCAGCATCTTTATAAAACGATTCATATTTTTTTAGCTGGATGAACTAGGGGAATTGAATCTACATCTGATACATCATGAATATGTGACAATAAATTTATATATTTTCCTGTGTTATAATGTGAGATGTCAATATTAAAAAAAATCTCCTCTAGTTTTACTAGCCTAACCCTGGCTCGCTAGGATAAACTCTACCCTCCAGACCTTCACCGGTGAACCCATGGATCCACCACCCCCTTGCCTGTCGCTCGTACGACTGGTGGCGGGGAGGGGAATCCCGGTGTCTTCATCCAGGTTAGTAGTTTAGGTTAGGGCTTTTTAGACCTCGGAGGTCCGCGCTCGAATGGATGGTGGTGCTTCTTCGAGTTTGTATTTCGAGCTCTTATCCTCCTCGAGTTCGTCCGTCTAGACGTAGTTGACGAAGCTCCGCCGTAGATTTCTACCGTCACGTTTAGGCGGTGAGGTTAGGATTTCTCGTCATATGACGATATTTGGTGTTAGGTGCTTCAGATCTATGCAAGGGTTCAAAGACAACAACTGGGTCTCTAGGGCGTTGCTGGTCCTTAGGGGAACATCCACGAACCCTTCCCGGCTGTTATTGACAAGGTCAAGGTCAAGCCGGCTCCGGCAGTGTGGATAGATCCGACAGTAAGATGTAGGGGTATGAAGGAGGACTGATCCTAGCTATGGCATAGATGTGACACAGGAAGAGGTAACAACCCTACGTCTCGAACTCGGGAGCTATGTTTTTCTCTGGTGTATGATGATTACAGAAGATTGCGAACCCTTCTCTAAGTGCTACGGGGCAGCTTATATAGAGTGTGCCATCCCTTGATGAGCTAGCTAGCCCATTACAAGGAGGGGTTGATTAATACGCTTATTCATATATGAGATTACGCTGAATGGATCACATGAACTGCATGATGCGAATCAAGATGCAAAGACTGCCATACACATAGGTGATGTTGCGTTCCCTGTTCTACTAAACTTTATACAAGTTTCTCTGCTCTAGTTCAAGCTTTATGCTTCCTACTTCCTAAACCAGGCAAAGAAGCAACGCCCACTCCATTCCTTCTTTGTATTCACAACATAAGTGTGAAACCCAATATTCAATGGCCTTATGTGCTAGCTTCTCAAGAGAAGCTTTATTATACTTGTGTAGAAAGCAGAAACATTACATGTTACCAAAAATGCTTTGCAGCAATTATAACACAATTTATCGTATTGTTATGCTAATACTTACTACCTCATAGTCGGAAAATCAATTATATTAGGAACTAATGCCATCACCCTGATTTGATTATCAATATTCCTGCTCACGAGTAGGGCATCGAATGGTATATTGCTTGACTAAGCTGAATACACATTACCACGTGACCTAAACAGCTCGTCTTCTGTTGGCGGTTTGGCACCAGCCAAACAGGCAATAATACAAAAACAGTAGTGGTAGAGTGACAAGTTTTTTGGGTACATTTTAGAAACGACCAGTTCAGTAGCACAAAAAAATTGCACAATACTCATAAAACGTACACCAGTTCTAGATCAGTCTTCACTCAAGACTGCTCCATGCCTAATTTCTCTGCAAATAGAAAGATTCTGTGAGAAATTAGTGTGACTTCTCTGAAATACCCCCCATCCTTAGGAGAAAACAAAGTCAGAGACAAGGACACGATCATCTCAATATGCACCTAATCGAACATGAAGCAGACTGGAAAAGATCCACAACACACATACTGCTCGTCCAATATTGGCAGTTTGGCATCACTGCCGCTGGGAACGAGTTGCTCAGCGCTGGCACAAAACCTCCACGCCTGAAACGCATGATGGAGGTTGAAAACCAGCACAAAAGGTATCCATCCCAGCAACCGTCGCTTTCTCCGAGCAGGGCCATCTCCAGGATTTTGGGGCCCTGGGCGAGATGTAAATTGACCCCTTAAATTTTGAAAATGCATGCAATTGATGAACTAGTATAAGTAAAGAATGCTCTCACTCCTTTATAAAACTTCAGATATGTGTTAATGAGTATAACATTTAGAAAGATATCAAATACTACCTCCACCTCATATATTATGGGACGGAGGGAGTAGTAACTAAAAAAAGGCAAAGGTGGTACTAATGAAAAAAGATCAGACCTTAAAATCTGAACGATCAGCTACCTTGAATAGATTTATCAATCTATGTAAAGCCTGGATGACAATAGAAAGAGAACAAAAAATCTAAATTTCAACAAATCTACTTACCCAACAGTCTGTACAAACACACGTTGTAGGAAAGAAATCTCTATTCTTAATGGACGACTTGGTGAATAGTCTTTGCGGTTTAATTTCGCTGTTTTTTTCATCATCCTCCCACCTCTGTTAACTCGCAACCCTCCCGTGAAAAAAAACCGTGACAAAAAAACCCTACGGTCGATGCCTCATACCCACAGCAGATCGTTCTCCGCCGCCAACCAGCCCTTCGCACGCCCCCCTTCGCACACGGGGGACGACTCTAGCCCTCTAGGGTTTCCTATGCCACCGCCGCCGCCGGGGAACTCCTCGACCAGCCCACCCTCCTGCCGCTCCGCCCCTTCCCTTCCCTTCGCCGCAGTCGCCCCCTCCATCTCCTGCCGGAGCCACTCCCCTGCCGCGAACATCCTGCTCGCGTTGTACATGACCGGTACGGCGGCCCTAACGAGGACCGAGAACCGCCACGGGAACGCGGTGGTGAGCCCCTCGGTGAAGACCTGCGCGGAGAGCAGGATCGCGTGCGGGGCCATGGCGGCGATCCCCGTGGTGTCCCTGGAACGGGAGGCCGTCGAGGATGTATAGCGCCGGGAGCACGGCGCCGACGAGGAACCCACCCACGGTGTGCGAGGGGTCTCTTCCCGTACGTGAAGGCATCCCGCCTCACGTTTCCTCTTTCGGCATCACGGGCCGCCGCCGCACTCCCTCCCCCGGCCGCCCCGCGGGCTTCTATCTCTCCCAGCTCCGCTGGCGCGCCCCGTCTTCCATCTCTACATGAATCGCTGCTGTGGAAGCCATGCCCCACCGCGCCACCCGGCGGCCATCTGGGCACGCCGTGTCCGGGATGATGGAGTTGAGTCGGCCAGGTCCCTGTTCCAGTCGGCATCTTCTGCATCGGGACCCGTGGGGGCAAGCCGCGCGCTGCTCATCTGCGTCGATGGCGTCGGCGTGGCCTTCCCCTTCCAAGACCGGTGGCTCCTTGACTGGATCCTCTCCTCGCCTCTCTTCCACCTCTCGTTGTCGGGTAAGTCGCAGGTATTGTATTCGTAATCGGTTCGGTTCCAATCTCGCGCCCCTGATTCACTGTTCTTCGTTTGATTCATTTCAGGTGCTCCTTCCGTCGATGTCGAGGTCTTAGTCTCGGTGATTTCTCCTTGTATGTTCTGTTGATATTGGTACCGTGTTCTGAACCTTGCTGCTTTGGAAAGGGTGTGGTTTCAGTTTTGATGGTTCTGTTCAATTCAAGGTGATTCAGTAATGTTCTGCGTACAAAGTGCTTCCTATTTTTGCGGTGAAAAACGGCGTGTTGGAGATAGTTTAGACAGTCAAAATTTGCCAGTATTTTCTTCTTCTTTTGATCCCGTTTCTTCATAGTTAGTCAGACTCAATAAGAATTAGAGCAAGTTGGAAAGAGGTTTGTTAGGTCGGAACTGATATATTTGCTTTCGCCTAGCAACCTATACATATCATTTTATATGACGGGGATTGTGCTATACTACCATGTTATAAAGGTAGAGCTAGGATATGTCTTTCTTGAACTGTGTGGACATGCTCATGGCGGAGGTGCTCTGTTTGTATGTTTTTTCAAGTAAAGTGGAGAAACTCCTGAATTGTGTCTTCAGAAATAGTTTACTGTTGCTGTGTTTCGCTCTGGTGGTTGTCAAGGTCGATTCAGATGCTGGCTACTGTGTTGGAATCTACCAATCCTTCTGATCATTGTGTTTTTCTGGGCCTGGAGGTCTACGCCAAACCCCAGGGCAGGGTGGTTCGAACACCAGTGCAGTACGGGCTGGGACGGACATCATCTTGTCTCTGTCTACTAATTCAAATTACATGTAACTTATTCCCTCAAAAAAATTACATGTAATTTATTCAGTTCTACAGCAGCCAAGGGCGGGGCATCGCACCGACGACAGTGACTGCAATGAGGGCGAGATGCACTACCAGAATAACTGGCGATGCCGACGGCCGAACCTATGCCGACGGGCCCCATCGGCATAGATAGGCCTATCCTGAAGGCCCAGCCCAGGCCGTCGGCATAG